AAGGTGAGGCTGCAGCTCACAGCTGCCAGCCCAGCCACACTTTTGCCTACGGCAAGCTGTGCAGGAGATTCTGACCTCCCTTATCCAGCCCTGGAGGTGCAGAAACAATGCAGCATAGTTGAGCACTTATATTTGGGTTTAAAGCACTGCTCTGGTATTTTATATGGATGTATACACAGGGCGTGTGCACACGCACACATTTAATCCTCACAACAACCCTTTCTGTAGGTGCTGTTCTATTAGTATTTCCATTTTACACGTTTATTGAGTCCTTTCCTTGGCATCCCATTTAGTCTTCACAGCAACCCCAGGAAGTAGGCATGATCAGTCCATTTTATAATGAGGAAAGAGAGACTTGGAGTGGTTCTGTGACCTGTACAAGGTCACACCGCAGTTAAGTGGCAGAGCTGGGGTTCATATCCTGGCTGGCCTGACCCTAGAGCCAAGGCTTTTTCCCTAAAAAGACTGCCTGGCACTCTGAGATCCCTATGTTGCCCAGCACATGAAAGCAGGAACTGACAGATGTCATAGGTTCTGTGTGTGGCATCTCCTCTAAAAGCCTCCCCTACTTCTGTACGCTGGGGAGGCCTCTGTGCTACCCCAACCAGCACATGGACCATACTGTTATAACTCCATTTTAGTGTCTCCTTACAGAGATCGTAAGCCTCAGGAGGGCAGGGATCATGTCTGGCTTGTTCACTGTATCCCTGATGCCTACCTCAATGCCTGGCACATAAAGGCTCCTCAAAAAAGTGTTTGTTGAGTGAATAAGTGAATGAATGAATGACCTAATGTATTTATTTACCCAAAGGCCTGGAGCAGAGTCTCTCCAGGACACTTTGCTTACAGGAAGTATTCCCAGTGCCCTTGGGGGTAAGACACAGTGGGGACCAGAACTTCCTATAAGCCCTTTCTTCATCTGTCCCCAGGTATATGGGGCATCCAACGTGGAGCTCATCACCCGGACACGGACAGAGCATCTTTCAGAACAGCACAAGGGCAAGGTCAAAGGTAATGAGGCAGAGGTGGATGGGAGAGGTGTTGCAGGACTGCAGGAACCAGCTCCCACTTCAGTCCTTCCATCAGTATTCCCACTGGCATCCTAGCAAGAGCCCAGTTGCTTTATTCAGGCAAATAGATTTCAATTCAGGTGCCAAGCCCTAATGATTGGTAGTGGCTACCTAGAGTACTAAGAAGATTTCTAAGGACTCATCTGGGTTCAGTGGAGATGCATGCTACAAGTGATTATTAATGTCAATACTGGATTTGGGAGGGGAGAGAAATGTCACGTATGCCATTTATTGGCCATTCTAGTTCTAGCGGGACATATCCTAGGTAGAAAGTTGGGGAATCTTGCTGCAGATTCTATATGCCCACTGATGCCACACCTGACTCTCTGGGTACCAGATACCGTATCTCAGGTGAAAAGGCATAATTGCTACCTCACAGGGGAACAAAATGACGCCATGAATATGAGAGTGCTTGAAGCATAACACACATGTGCACTCACACACCCCAAAATGCCCACGGAGGGCAGGTGCTTAGTGTCCAGGGCTAGAGAGTAGCACTTCTGAAAGCTGCTCCTGAGCCCAAGGCCTACTTTACTGTTTAACCTGTGTGCACAGAGGTCCGAGGTCTTGGCCCCTGGCCCTTGGAGGGAGCCCTCAGTCCCCTTCAGGTGAAGGTGCCTGGGTATGTGGTTGGGTGAGCAGGCCCCACTCCAGGAACCGGCCTCCTCCCTAGGTCTTGGATGCTGTCACCTCTGATGAGGTGCCCAGGTGTGTGTGGAGCTGCGGTGTCCTCTGAGATGCCACATTTCTTGTAGGCTGTAAGACACCTTTGCAGTCCTTCCTGGGAATTGCTGAGCAGCACGGGGGCCCCCAAAATGGGGTGAGTGTGTGCAGGGGTGCCCCTAAGTGGAGGGGTGTGGATGTGACTCAGGAGGAGGCTTGGGAGGTGTCCTGCTTAGCGTGGCCTATGTGGACCTCCTTTCCACAATGCCCAAGGCCATGTCAGTGGCACACTGGCAGAGGGGACAGCTCGGGGGCCCTGTGGTACCAAATGAGCTGGCCTGGCATCAGGAACTGAGGGGAGCTCCTGGGCCCCTCCCCATGTGGTACAGACCCTGATAACTCAGACTCTGAGCCAAGCCAACCCCACTGCCATCACTGCAGAAGAATACTTCAACCCCAACTTTGAGCTGGGCAACCGTGATATGGGCCGCCCCATGGAACTGACCACCAAGACACAGAAGTGAGGCCCCTGCCGGTGCTGGGAGGGTTGGGGGCTGGGGTTCCAGCAGATGCTGGGAGGCCATGGCTTCCTGCAGTGTCCCTCACCCCTTGGGATCTGGCGGGGGCAGGTTCAAGGCCAAGCTGTGGCTGTGTGAGGAGCATCCCCTGTCCCTGTGTGAGCAGGTGGCCCCCATCATTGACCTCATGGCTGTCAGCAATGCGCTTTTTGCCAAGCTCCGGGACTTCATCACCCTGCGCCTGCCTCCTGGCTTCCCAGTCAAAATTGGTGAGACCTCATGGCCATTTCCCCTGAGCCCCTGGCTTGCCGGCTGGGGTTTAGATGAGGTCGGGGCGGGACTTAGGCTGAGGTGTGAGGGGCTGGGTGGTGGCACCTGATGGTTTCCTCATCCTCAGAAATCCCGATCTTCCACATCCTTAACGCCCGCATCACCTTTGGGAACCTCAATGGCTGCGACGAGCCGGTGCCATCAGTGCGAGGCAGCCCCAGCAGCGAGACTCCTTCCCCAGGCAGCGACTCCTCCAGCGTCAGCAGCTCCAGCTCCACGAGTGAGGCCCACTCCCCGCGAGAACGCCTGCCCCGCGGCTCTCCTGGCCGTGGGCTGGGGGAGGGGGCGCCCCCTACGCCGTGCGTGACCCAGCCCTGCGCCCCCAGCCTCCTGCCGTGGCTGCGAGATCTCCCCGGCGTTGTTCGAGGCCCCACGCGGCTACAGCGTGATGGGCGGCCAGCGGGAGGCGGCGACCCGCGACGATGACGACGACCTGCTGCAGTTCGCCATCCAGCAGAGCCTGCTTGAGGCGGGCAGTGAGTATGACCAGGTGCGTCTCCGCGGGTGCGCGGGGCCACGGGACTGCGACGCCGCCCCGGCTAACGCCCACGCCTCCCCTCAGGTCACCATCTGGGAGGCGCTAACCAACAGCAAGCCAGGCACCCACCCCATGTCCTACGAGAGTCGCCGACAGGACAGGTCAGTGTCCACTGGGCCGGAGAGAATCCTCCGGAGAGGATCTTGTCTCCCCTAACCCAGGACACAGCCCGGAGAACCCGCGAGGCCCTCGGGAGGGACCTTCCGGGTATCAGGATGGTTTCCGCCACCACCCTTTCCTGGCTCCAAGGCGGCAGGCAGGGGGCAGGGATCGAGGTCTCAACGCGGCGTTCAGATTCTCTCCAGGCACTGACGGAGAGAACTTGGTACGGGCTGGGCTCTGCTACGACCAGGTGGGGGTCAGGGCAATGCGGGACTGACCGCCTCTACTAGAGGGTGCTGGCCTTGTGCCGCCCTGGAGCCTCCACGCCATGTTCCGGCTCCGGCCGGTGGGTGGGTGCGTCCGGGAGCCCGCGACATTCCTTCCCCGCCCCCAGGAGCGCCCCACCCACGCCACAGCGCCAGCCTGCGCCCCCGGCGTCAGTGCCCAGCCCTCGGCCCAGCCTGGGACCGGGTTCCGGCCGCCGCGTGTTCCGGAGCTACGACGAGCAGCTGCGGCTGGCGATGGAACTGTCGGCGCAGGAGCAGGAGGAGCGGCGGCGGCGCGCACGCCAGGAGGAGGAGGAGCTGGAGCGCATCCTGAGGCTCTCACTGACCGAGCAGTAGCGCCCCCTGCTGGGCCCCTCGCCTGCGCCACGCGCGCCACGCCCAGAGACTGGAGCCTGCGCGCGCCTGCCGAGCGGCGGCTGGAGACTGGAGCCACCACTTCGGGGATGCAGCAGCGCACCAGGCACGGTTCGGGGAGGGATTTGGCATGGGAGCGGAGTACCTTTCCAGGCCAGGGCCCTGGAGGCAGCTGGCACGGCCTGGTCCCCTGCTTTGCTGTATCCTGATCCCCAGCCCTGTTCCCTCGGCTCAGTTGTGTCCAAGGGCGGAGCCCGGCGATCCTGAGTGGGAGATTAATCCTTAGAGGAGCGCTGTCCCCATCCCTTGCTCCTTCTGGCCGGTCCGCATTTCTGTTCACTAACCCCACTCCAGGACACTGCCCCTGAAGCCTTTGCATCTCTGCTCTTCACCCCTGGGGGGCAGCTGAGCTCCCCGAGTGCTGTGTCGCTGCTTTGTCCCAGACACAAACCAGCACGTCAAGGGCCCAGCCCCTCCCCCACCCCGGCATTTCAGCGTCAAGTGCACTTAGCGGGGTGCCCGGCTCCCCCAGCCCCCACACCCGTCCTGGGTCTCAGGGTGGTCCCAACTTCTTCTTGGGCAGCCAGAAGTTGGAGTCCCATCCCCCCCAAGGCACATTTTTCTTCTTTTTTTGTGATCAGGGAGTGTGTCCAACGTAGCCCCCTGGCCTGGGCAAACCCTGACTCCCTCATGGTGCCTCGGAGAGTGGGGAGCATATTGGGCTGGGGTAAGCACTAGACCGACTAGACTGGACACAAAGGGCTCGTCCAGGGCCCTGACGCCACCCCCACCCCTTCCCACCAGCTGCTGCTAGCCTCTGTGGTTGTACATCCCACTTGTCCCCACACGGGGACTGACTCTAAAACCTTTTATCCAATGGTGCTAACCCCCGGCTCTCCCCTGCCCCACCTCACCTACCCAGAGAAGCACAGACCCCGCCAGGGGCAGGGGCCCACCGCACACCCTTGTCCCGGGCCTGTCTGGGACTGGCCTTCCCGGCTCAGCCAGTGAGGCTCAGAAGGGACACAAAAAGGGATGGAAGAAAAGAACAAAGAGAAACTGTTCCTCCCACTCCCTTCCCTGATGCCAGGGGCACCAGACTGATTCTGAGGCACAATAAAAGAGGCTTCAAACTGGAGGCTTTTCCTACCTGACTTTACTGGGGGACCACCTACGGTGCAGGTTGGGGTCCTTCTGAACCTCAGAGTGGGGAGAGCTCTAGTGTAAGAGGCTGCATGGTGGCTCCTGAGCCCAGGAGTGCATCGCCAGGTCTCCCAGGAGCCTGGGGGTGGTGTTTGCAGAGGCTGGGGCGGGGGGTCTCATTCCCCTCACCCCCACCCATGCAGGAGGCAGAGACCCAAGCTTAGTAAAGTGTTTCATTCAGTACGTCTTGTTTTTCTCAGAGTCAAGGCAACGGCAGAGGGTTGGGGGCAGTGTGTGTGTGTGAGATGAACCTAGTTCATCATGCCGGTTCTCTCAAGACTTCTCCGCGGGGGCTGCCTCGAGGAAGCCGCCCTCGCCCCTTGTCGGTGGAATGAAGGAGAGAGCTCTCTACCCTAGACCTCTGTGGGTGTAGCCACTGGGTCCGGCTCTGCAGCAAACGGGTTGGGTATGTGTCTTCAGAACTGGGGTGACGCCCATCTGGTTTACCTCTCAGGGTGATGGAATTCAGCGAGCTGATTAGGAGACGCGCTGTCATTTTCCCCAGCCTGGGGTGGACCCATTGAATCGCCACCCATTTGAGGTCAAGCTCAGGCTCCCCAATATCCCCAACCATCACCCTAATACTAAATACTTTCCTTGCCCTGGGTGGAGGACAAAGAGGGGCACCACCTCGTCGTGCAGCACCATTGCTGAGCACCCTCCAGTGACCCCAGGCCTCCCTAGGCCAGCTCCAGCCGAGTCCCAGACGAGGAGGGTCTCCCATGAGGGGCGGAGTTCCCTTCCCAGTCCCGCCCCCGGCCCCAGCCCAAAAAGGTGGGGTCCGGAGTCCGGGACCACAAGCCGGGGCGGGGCCGAGCTTGTGCATCCTGCCCTGCCCCGCTCCGCCTGCCCGGCGCTCGGAGCTAGTCAGTGCCGTCCACCAGCTCGCACAGCATGTTCTCCAGAGCCGTGATGCGCTGCTCCTGGGCCTGCACTCGCTCGCGGAGGGCCTTGATCTCCTCCAGCAGCGTCTCCAGGGTGTGCTGCTGCTGGGGCGGAGGATAGAGAGGCCGTGTAGGATAGGGGCAGTAGTGGGGAGATGTAGATTGGGCCAGAGTGCAGCGGGGCCGATCTTACCGACAAGGGGGCGTCGCTGGCCGACTGGCTGCGGCGGGGGCCGGAGGGCGGGCGCACGTCCAAGATATTGCGTTTCGTGACCCGGAGGTCCCGGTGCTTAGGGGGCACGTAGCCGTCCCTCAGCGAAATGAGCACAGGTTCGGCGTCCTGGCCGGCTAGCCATTCGTCCGCTTCTAGGGCTGGCTCCGGGCCCGGTGTATCCGGGTACAGATCGTCCTGGAACAGGTCTGACTGCGGGGGTGGGTTGACAGGCGGACCTGCGTGAGAGAGGTGCCGGGCCTGCTCCGCTCCCTTCCGCCTCGTAGCCCTGCCCAACCCTTCTCCGGCCCCTCACCTTGCGGGGCACAGTCATGACGATAGGCTCACACTTTCTTTCGTGCAGCTTGTAGAACCTATAAGGGAGCAGGGTTCAGCACCCCTGTAGAATTCCACGTCCTTAACTTCTCCTGTCTGAGACCAAGGGGTTTGGAGGCCAACATTTGCAGAGCGCCTATCATGCATATTGCACATTACACACATTATTGGTTCTGTAGTAAAACACCGCTGATGGTGTGTTCACCATCATCTTATGGATGAGGAAACTGAAGTTGAGAATGTCAGGCGAGTAAGCGGTGGGTCTGGCACTGAAACAGAACTGTCCTATCCCTCTGCCCCACTTTTCCAAAGCATTGCATTATTGGGGAAGCCCCATGGCTAGGACCCGACATGAGTGGGGGACAGAAGCAGGCAGGTGTTCGGAAGGGGCCAAGGCTGCTGACCGGGCGATCTCACACTTGCTGACATCCAGTCCCCTCTTAGGCATGAAACCCATGCCCCGCTGCGGCTCTTTGCTGCTGAACGTGTTCAGGTAGTGGACAAAAGGCGGCTCGTCGGTAATCTCAAAGTACCGAATGCTGCTGTCTCCCTGCAAAACCTGTCGGTTCAGAGGCGAGCCAGACCAAGCCCTCCACATCTCCATCCAGCCCCGTCCTCCCTGCCCTGCCGTGAGCACCTTGCCACACAAGTAGACGATGCTGGAGTCAGGATCGTAAAAGGGCAGTAGGACCCCGTTGCTTGTGTCCATCTCCTGCAGCGCCACTGGCTCCTCGAAGTTGTTCTGCCCGAGCACAGGAGGCGTGACCAGCCCTGCCCCACTCTCCTGTGCTACTTCGGGACCCCCAGAAGCTCCTTTACGCTTCCTGCCCAACTCAAATCATATGCCCCCAAATTCTAGTGACCAGAGTTGCAGGCCCCTCCCCTGGGCACATCGCTCCTCCTCCCCTGCACAATCACTCCTCCTCCCCTGCACATATACCCGCTGCGCGCCGCATGCAGTCACAGCAAACCACCCCCAGGGACTCGGCATCACCAGGTTGGGGCACCAGCGCAGGATCCTTCACGCGACGCAGCAAAACTGGGCAGAGGGGTGGGTGTGAGGATGGCAGGCGCTGCAGAGGTGGCAGCAGCCTTCAGTCCTGTCCAGGTGGGCATGCCCTGCAGGTGGGGGGGGGGTGCCTGGCCCCTATCCCGTGATGCCAGTCCCCGGGGCACACACCCCAAGCCTCCAGCTGCGTTACCGGGTCCCACAGGCCCAGCTCTCTCTGGCTCATGCGGGTGAAGCCCGTGGTGAAGATATGGCCCTGGCGTGTGAAGACGGCCCGCATGGGCCTCATCCCCTCGTGGGCCGCAAACCTCTCCTGGGGGGAGGGGGAGACAGGGAGGGGCATCACCCAGCTGCCTGCCCTGAGGAGCATGGAGGGATGAGCAACCAGCTTGCTGACTTGGGTGTGGAGGGTGGGGGAGCGGAGGCGGGGAAGAGACAAAAGGGGCCTAAGCACTCAGCTTCCTGCAGGGACACGGCTGGCCCCTGACCTGGAGAGCATCCGGGCCTGGAGAGAGCAGGAGGCACGCGGCTCTCAGCAGATCCGAAACCCTTAAGCGCGCTCAAAGGCCGATCCCTAGAGCAGGGGATGTCGGAGTCGCAGCGAGGCTTTTCCCGAACTGGAGCTCCCCGCTCCGCTCGGGCCTCTTGGGCGCCAGCCACAGCCCGGGAGGGCGCCTCCCGGCGGACTCAGCGAAGGAGCGAGCGGGCGCGGCCTGGCCTACCGGGTCCCAGAGCGCGAGTTGCCGCTCACTCATCCTGCTGAAGCCGGTGCTGAGCAGCTTCCCGTCTGCGGTGAAGACAGCCCGCAGCGGGCGGGCGCCCTCGTGAGGCCGGGCTCGCTCCTGCTCGCGGGGTTAGTGGGTTAGAGTGCTGCACGCCCGCCCCAACAGCGCTCGGCGCGCGTGCTCCACGCAGACATGCACGTGCCCCACGCACCCGCACCCTAGGTTAGACTGAGGCCGGCGAGGCCACGGCCGTCACCCTCCCAGGGCACCCGGCTGGAATAAGCAACGCGCGAGAGTTGCCCCCATTCCCCGCCCGGCAGGTCCACAAGGAGAAGGGGCCAGCCCTCGAGCCAGTGTCAGACCCCAGACCCCGAAAGATGAGTCTGGCTGCCGGCTGACAGGAGAGGGGTCCCGGAGCTCAGGTTTCATGCAGGTTCTGGTGGGAGGATGGCGTTTCCAGCTTCTCCCCTCCTCAATCCCAAAGTGAGGAACCCTTCTCTGAGCTTCTGAGATGCAAGGGAGGGGAGGGAACAGGAGCTGGGCAGAGAATTACAGCCTAGGGGCGTACTTAGGGCAGAGACCTGTGCTTGCAGAGATGGGGGAAGGGGGCTAGTTTCTAGAGCAGGGATGTGACAGGTGAAAGCCGGGACCAGGGGCTCTGATGACGGTGGGTACAGGGTGCTGACAGCTGGCCACAGGTCAGGGGTGCTGGGGAGTGGCGAGGCCAGGCACTCACCGCCACCACTTGGCCTTTTCGGGGGTCAATGATGCGCAAGGTCTTGTCCTTGCAGGTGGTGGCTAGCAGGCTACCGTTGCTGTTCCAGCACACACTGTGGATGACGTCTGGGTGCATATCATCCAGGCTCAGCAGCACCTCCCCAGTGCCCACATTCCAGATGATGATCACATTGTCACCACCTGCCCAGAGTGGCCAGGCATGGTCACCTGGATCTGGCCTTTGCTTCCACCCACCCATCTTTGGGGGAACCCTCCCTAGCTCCCAGACCTGCACTGAGCAGGACATTCCTGGCAGTAGGGTGCCAGGAGAGGATGCCCACACGCTTGGAGTGGCCCTCAAGTGTGATGATAGGTTCCGTAATGTTGCGCATGGGGGTATAGTCTGGAATCTGCCACACCTGGGTAGGAAGAAAAGGCATATGGTGGGTGGAATGAGGAGCCAGCCCTTCCTTACCTTCCTTTAATCCTACTGGCTCTCTTGAGTGGTAAGGGTCAAATACAGGGCAAGATGTGGTGGTGCATGCCTAGGGCAGAAGCAGCTGGGAGCCAGGAGGGGGCGCTGCCACCTCTCCAGAGACCTCCCATTCACTCCAGCAGGGAGACTTCAGAGCATGGCTCTGCTTGGCTATAATTAGTTCTAAGCAGTGCATCCTGGGAGGGGGTGGGCATATAGCTAAAAATAGTCTGGGAGCTGGGCAGAGCAGGGCCCTGGGACCCAGCACCTCCCTTATTACCATCCTTAGCACCTTCCCCAGCACAGGTGAGGCAGCCTTCCCTGCTCAACTGCCCAGCAATAGCCACCTGGCTCCTACCATGACGGTGGTGTCGTCTGAGGCACTGGCGATGACGTTGTCATTGTGTGGACACCAGTCAATATCCAGCACAGGAGCAGTGTGCCCAGTGACCAGTGGGAAGTTCTTATCCACTCGCCCTGTCTGAGGGGTTGGAGAGGAAGATGTGGGGATACTCTCCTGTGAGCTTTTTGGCGGGTGGGTAGCAGATCTGCTTACATCTCAATTCCCTATTATCTATTTTCTCTTTGCAGACCCCTCTCCACCCTTCTAACCCCATCCAGTCCACTTCCTGCACTTTACTGAAGGCAGACAGAGTTGAAATCATTTAATATTAGGGATTCTGACACAGAGAGGTAAGATAACTTCACCAGGGACACATAACAAGATACTGGTAGAGCTGAGATTTGAACTTTCCAGCCCAGGGCTTTTCCAAAGACACCCACTTGGAGGAGGCTGTTCTTGAGCCTGTTCTCCTATTGAAATGTCTGTGGGAATCCCCTGGTGGAAGGGGTCTAGGTGAGTATAGCGTAGTGCTGGACGGCCCTTTACTGGCCTCCCTTGGCAGATCTCTTCCAAGCAGCAAGCAGTCCTGGTGCCGACTATCCCCAAATGGGAGCTGGGGCCCACCTATTTTTCGATCTTCATAGGCAGCTTTTGGGGGCTCTGAGGCCTCTGCAGGGACAGGCACTGGTCCAGACCAGGCAGCAGGGAAAGGGAGGCTATGTGGTACTGAAAGAGCAGACATATTGGGGGAGGAGGCAGCTCCAGCTGAAATTTGAGCCCTGGGGCCTGTGTCCCTGGATGGTGTCTGCATTGTCTGGGGTGAGTCACTGACTTTGTCAGGCCTCTTCCTGACCCTGCCACCTGCGGAGCCTCCCCTAACAAGGTGTAGGGCCCAGAATCCAGGTCAAGGTCATACCTTGGGGTAGGGGGAGAGTCAACCTTGGGATGTGGATGGTCAAGGGGCTTAAGGTTATGAAGCTAACCTGGCAGTCACTGCCTGGTCCCCATCCTGAGGGTAGGGAGGGTCTGGCCTTGTGTGTCATTCCTTTCCCTTCCCTTTCTTTTGACTTCACTACAAGAGTCCTTGGAGGTAACCAGGGACTCTTTGGATAGGGCCTGACCCTGTCCTCAATTTGCTGCTTGGGATACGACTTAATCAAATGGTCATCCTGGGCTAGGGAGGAGGATCTCCACACCCAAAACATGATGGGATTTGGGATGAGGAGAGGCAGGGACGGAATATGGCCAGGTTTGGCTGTGCTGTGTCCCAACCATCTCTATCACCCAGCTCCCCTCCTGGTCCCTATTGTGAATGGGATGGTACATGGAGAGGTGGACGGGCTAGGGGATGGGAGTAGGCCACCATGATGCTAGGGTGGGATGGGGTGGCCTCCCTTCTGGTCCTTGAGGGCTTGAGGAACAGGGAGGAGCCAATCCGCACAGACGCTTCTCCTAACTATGGAATGGAACTAGGTAAGAACACAGGACGCTTGGAGTCCCCAGGGGCCCCAGCCAGTGTCCTCCCACTTGCTTCCTTTCCCTGGTCCCTCACCTTGGCCAGAGGCAGGACGATGAAGGCACCCCCACCTCCGGCCTCCACAATAATGGCCAGGAATTTAGGATTGACAGCACAGAAGGAGCTGTCCCATGTGACCTTGGACACACGGATGTCCTCATAGGCCTGGTCGGCCTTTGCTGCCTGCCCAAACACATGGCGGAACTTGCTTTGCCGAACCACACGTCTGCTCATAGCTGCGGGCAGAGGTAGGATCTTAGTGCCCAGAAATGCCTTTGGTCCTTAGTCCTGTGAGCTGTGGGAGGGAGGAGGAGTGGAGAGGTGGCCGGTGAGAAGGGTTTTCCAGGCAGGACTCAGGTATAAATCCATATAGAATCTGGTCCTAGAAGCAGGGAGCTTTCTTCAAGGTGGCAAAAGTATGGGAAAGTTAATTTGCTGTATAAAATGCTGATTAATGTTAAGGGGCTAGGATTTGGGGTCCAGCTTCTCCATAGAGACCCAGGCTGAGAAGATTGTGGAGCCTAAGGCACTGACAACTTCCTGGACGCTGGAATGTTTTTGGGAACCTCAATGCCACACTGCCCTCGAGCACCCCCACTGCCGGCCCTGATGAGCATCTCTTCATAGAAGTAGCTGTAGCTCTCAGAGGCACCTGTCCAGAAGCGGAGGCCTTGACCATTGGATCTCAGCTTAAAGCCAGATGTAAGGCGAAGACTGCGGCCGCCACAGGATCCCGAACTCGCATCTCTGTCCTAGTTCAGGCAGATGGGGTTTTGCCTTTTTCTAAAATTTGCCAAGGGGAAAGTTCCTCCTGTCAGCCAACCTGAGTCCTTTCTGCGACTGTTTTCATCAATTTCTTCCCATGCCTTGGGGAGACGGGTGGCAGCACAGAGTGGGGTGGATCTCTCATCTCCCACTCCTCCCTACACCGGCTTCTCTACGAGGCCTCGATCTTGGTCTTCCGGCTTTTGCCTACCGTACGTTTTGTTGGGTTTCTCCTCTGGGTCCCCTGCCCTGGCTGGGCCTTCTTCCTAGTGAACTCTTCTAGGGGTGGGGTCCTCAACCCCACCCTCCACCCCGCCCCCAAACCCCGACGGCCAAGCCAGATTTGCAGGGGTGGGGAGGGTGAGGTGCCTTGTCTCCGGCTAGGGCCTCCCTAGAGGGCACACTGAGCACTCCCACAGCCCCAGCCAGTGGCTCCTGCCCCACCCCAGCCCCGGCATCCGTTTGCCCTTCAAGGCGCTTCTGCGGCCCCAAGCTTGAGGCCCGGCCTCCCCGCACCCTTCTCCAGCCTCCTGCCCCGGCACTGCGTTCTTTCGAGACGTGGTGTCTGCGCCCTCCGGGCATGCTGGCCGATGTCCGGCCAAATATAGACACCAAGTCCTTCCTGCTCTAAACCGAATTTGGCGGCGCGAGGGGAGGGAGCGCAGACCTCTGCCCCTCAGGGACCCCGTCCGCTCCGCCGGCTGTGGTGGCGGCCGAGTGTGGGGGGCTGGGTACCTGGTCCTGAGCGGGGCGCTCACGCTGCGACTCCTCTGCGAAGGGGGCCCGAGTGCGCTGGGGGCCGAGGAAGGCGTCAGGACGAAGGAGCCGCCTCTTTGGGTGTCCGCAGCGTCTGGGACCCGGGCGTCCGGCTCCGCGCTCCGGCGCTGCCTGCGGCTTTCCAGGGCCGGGCGCTGCTGCAGCCCCAGCTGCCGCTGCCATCAACCTGAGGGGGCGGGGCCTAGCGTAGGGGCGGGGCCAGGGCCTAAGCTGCCCCGTCCCCTCGAGAGGCGGGAAAGTCGAGCGCTCCCGTTTCGCTCCGAGCTTCCGTAGGCCTCGGAACAGCCTCGAAAGTAAGTGTGCTAGCCGGGCGCGGTGGCTCCCGCCTATAATCCCAGCACTTTGGGAGGCCGAGGCGGGTGGATCACGAGGTCAGGAGATCGAGACCATCCTGGTCAACATGGTGAAACCCCGTCTCTACTAAAAATACAAAAAAATTAGCTGGGCATGGTGGCGCATGCCTGTAATCCCAGCTACTCAGGAGGCTGAGGCAGGAGAATTGCATGAACCCAGGAGGCGGAGGTTGCGGTGAGCCGAGATCGCGCCATTGCACTCCAGCCTGGGTAACAAGAGCGAAACTCCGTCTCAAAAAAAAAAAAAAAAAAGAAAAAAGAAAGTAAGTGTGCTGCTGCGTGCGGGTGCGCACGCTCCTTCCCTCCCTCCGTGACTCCTGAGGTAGGCTGGGGAGGCTTGGGTTCACAGACACAGAGCAGGACGCTGGGCGCGGGAGCCGGTGAGGGGGCTCACGCCCCTAGAGCGGGCAGCCGTGCGAGATCAGGTGCCTCCACCCGCATTCCAGCCGCAATCGCGCTCCCAATTTAGCTGTCCTGACCGGCCGGGACTGCGAGACCGCACGTTCAGGCCTCCCTGGGGGAAAGAGGCCCTAGAAGATGAGGACCCAGGCTGATCCTGATCGAGGGCACGTGCGAGGGCACCCGACACAGGGCTGTGAATGATAGTTACTGTTATGAATGGGAAAAGCGGTCATTTGAGAAACCTAAAATGCTAGCTCTGTGCTAGACATTTCCCCCCATTAGAGAGGATTCCATGGAGCAGGGCAGGAAGCAGCTGAAAGACCAAGGAGGGGACCGAGTGTAAAGTGAATCCACCTGACACTCCCTCCCCTCCCAGATTCAGGGGAGAGAGGCTGGCACAGATCTCTAGTCACATTTTAGGGGTCAGAGCAGCCAGCCCAGAGGTCAGACGCCTAATGTCTTCTATGCCTTGTTTGAATTGGTGCCCTACTGTGTTCCAGGTAAGCTTCCCCCCATATGCCCCAATACCCACAGAACTGAATGTTGACCGAGGTCAAGGAGATTAAAGGGAATCTGATCAAAATACAGCCAGTGAAGACCAACCAGACCCGTAGCTCCATTTTACCCAGTGTCTGCACATTGCCTGGATTTCTTCCCTTGGATCATAAGGGCATCATGGGGTCAGTTATTACTTCCCACTCTCCAGGGCACACCTGGGAGTGAATGGAACACAGCTTTTCGGAGGGCAGAGACCAGCACTGGGGAGAAAGGGGAGTGAAGGTGGTGAAACCATGAGGGGCCCCACAAGGCTCCTCTGTTTCTCTTGTAGAAGAGTCAGTGGCTTGTGGGGAACAGAATCAAAAACTGTTACGAGTGCTCCAGAAATAACTCCTGGCATAGGGGTGCAGGGACAGGGTATGAGGGTACATGAGTCATCTCTCTTTTACCTAAAGATTCCAGGCACATGCTTAGGAGGAAAATACCTGAGTTACTCAGTTGCTCTTTTACAACAATAACCCATGCTTATGTGCTAGGCACTGGCAAGGGCTTTATACATATCAATTTCATACTCCTCTAGGTCAGACGTGATGGCTCCCGACTGTAATCCCAGCACTTTGGGAGGCTGAGGTGGGTGGATCACCTGAGGTCAGGAATTCAAGACCAGCCTGGCCAACATGGTGAAACCCCATCTCTACTAAAAATACAAAAATTAGCCAGGTGTGTTAGTGCACGCCTGTAATCCCAGCTACTCAGGAGGCTGAGACACAAGAATCGCTTGAACCTGGCAGGCAAAAGTTGCAGTGAGCTGAGATGGTGCCACCACACTTTAGCCTGGGTGACAGAGTGAGATTCTGTCTCAAGAAACCAAACCGAACCAAAACAAAACCCCACAGCAAAAAAGAAAACACCACAAAACAAAAAGAAAAAACAATCCTCTGGCCGGGCGCGGTGGCTCAAGCCTGTAATCCCAGCACTTTGGGAGGCCGAGGCGGGTGGATCACGAGGTCAAGAGATCAAGACCATCCTGGTCAACATGGTGAAACCCTGTCTCTACTAAAAATACAAAAAATTAGCTGGGCATGGTGGCAAGTGCCTGTAATCCCAGCTACTCAGGAGGCTGAGGCAGGAGAATTGCATGAACCCAGGAGGCGGATTTTGCGGTGAGCCGAGATCGCGCCATTGCACTCCAGCCTGGGTAACAAGAGCGAAACTCCGTCTCAAAAAAAAAAAAAAAAAAAAAAAGCCCGGGCACGGTGGCTCAAGCGTGTAATCCCAGCACTTTGGAAGGCCGAGGCGGGTGGATCACGAGGTCGAGAGATCGAGACCATCCTGGTCAACATGGTGAAACCCCGTCTCTACTAAAAATACAAAAAATTAGCTGGGCGTGGTGGCGCGTGCCTGTAATCCCAGCTACTTAGGAGGCTGAGGCAGGAGAATTGCCTGAACCCAGGAGGCGGAGGTTGCGGTGAGCCGAGATCGCGCCATTGCACTCCAGCCTGGGTAACAAGAGCAAAACTCCATCTCAAAAACAAACAAACAAACAAACAAACAAAAAACAATCCTCTAAGGTGGGTCCTGTTATTCCTATTTAACAGTTGAGGAAATGAAGCCACAGAGGTTAGCTGGCTTACCCATCACAACCTCAACTGGTAGTTGATGTAGCTACCATTCTTACCCAAGTGGTCTGGCATCTGTTCCATGCTTTCCAGCATCGTTCATTTCTGCCTCTCCCTGAAGGACAGTGCCACTTTATCTCACATGTGCTAAGCTAAAGCATAACTGAGAGTTTATACTGTGTGGCACAGAGGAAAGGATGCCTGGCATGAATTAAAAACCTGGTTCCTGTCCTGGCTCAATTGTCATATTTTTACAGCTCTCTGGGGCTGTAAAATAAACAGGATTGGGTCAGATTCTTTCCAACTCTGCACCACTCCTTAGCAGAGTAGGGATCTGATGTGGTGCCACCTCTGAAATAGCCACTTCCCTGCTAACCCTACACTCCTTCTCTTTAAAAAGAACAGGAGACTCCCTTCTAGAGGGAAGGGCTTGGGAGTAGGAAGCAGGAATCCATCAATGCATTCTCCCTTCAGTTCCATCATCTAGGAAGGGTCATGCTTTCTGTGTACAGGGATTCAGATATTTGCTTGGGCCAGGTGTGGCTCAGCTCTGCCCTCTAGCCTTCTTCTGGCTGCCAAGGCCTGGCAGAGCTGTGAGTAGGCAGAGTTAAGGCAGGAAGAACCAACCAAGGGAAGAAGCTGCCTGGGCTTGGTGCCTCCCTTTTGAACTGTTAGCTCTGAACTGCAATCCATCGAAGACAGCCATGGATTTCATCTTTTAGGAAGCCATTTTCCAGATGAGGTAGTCTGGCAACTTAACCATGATTTGGTCCATCTGCTTTGGCTAGAAAGCCAAGACTGAGGTTATCTAGATTGATCAGGGATCTGAGGCACCCTTAGAATATTTTGTGAAAGACCTTACCTTCAACATCATGCACTCCAGCTAAAGACCAGCGCTGTGGCCCTCCCAGTTGATATGGATGATTCAGAATGAAGCAGAGACAGTGTGTTTTTTCGAGACAGTGTGTTTTTTAGTTCGAGACAGTGTGTTTTTTCTTTTTTTGGTTGGGGGGAACTTCAGTAAATTTTGTTAGCAATTGGGAACTGGAAACTGAGCTCTCCCTAGATGGTAGCACTCCCTTGAATGTGATGAATGGCACCACTAAACATCTCATGATGAATCTGTGTGGAAAGGTGGGAGAAGTGGGGATACCCCCTAGGCCATTTTACAGAACTGCCTTTTGGCCACCTCTCCTATGTCAGTGACACCAGTGTTTCTCTTCTAATGGTGGGAGTAATAAGCTTTTATTTATTTATTTATTTATTTATTTATTCATTCATTCATTTATTTAAAGAGACAGTGTCTTGCTATGTTGCCCAGGCTGGAGTGCAGTGGCTATTCACAGGCACGATCCCACTACTGATCAGCACGGGAGTTTTGACCTGCTCTGTTTCCGACCTGGGCCGATTCACTCCTCCTTAGGCAACCTGGTGGTCCCCTGCTCCCAGGAGGTCACCATATTGATGCCAAACTTAGTGTGGACACCCGATCGGCAGAGCACAGTACAGCCCAGAACTCCTGGGCTCAAGAGATCCTCCAGCCTCAGCCTCCCGAATAGCTGGGACTGCAGACACGTGCCACCGTGCCCGGCAATAAGCTTTTATTTCTTTGGAAATTCATGTCCCATTTCTAGAAGTCTTTCAGTGGACTGAGATGCCTTGAGCTGAAAGCTTGTTAGCTCTTTCCCACTATGTCCAGAGAGGTCACCCACCAAACAAATCCAGTCTGTTGGGGCAGGTGACCACAGCTGTCCTAGATCAGTCACTCTGCAGCACAGATGGTGGGGGAATTTTGGTCCCTTTGCTTTTTCATTCTTCTAACATTCAGGTGGTGGCATTGGCAAGTGCCTCCTTAACCTGGCACATTCCCAGCTTGGTCACTTGATTGGAGCCACACTGCCTGAAATAATCTTTAGTGATCCTATGTCCTATCTACTCTTTTATTTTGTGGAAAGTGGCAAGTTTTATTTATTTTTGAGGGCTCAGCTCTCTCTTCAGGGTGACATGACTGGGATGAATCATTGAGAACTACTGCTTGTTCGCTGTGTTCCCTCTTCTAACCCTTACACTTCTCCAGCACCTCCCTCCTTTGTTGCATCTGATGACGTACACTTTTCATCTTCAAAATAAAAATTTATTCAGTCTGTAACAAGAACATTTAATCTGCACATTTGCACACAAGTTCACATTTAAAAACAGCGGAGCACATCAGTAATAAAAAAAATCTATGGTACAAGTGGAACATCTCAACCACCAGGAAGATTAAGGAAGGAGATGAGACCACTCTATATTCTGCTTC